TAACATCTGCAGATACATATGACGTAGAACTACTAACTACGTATGGTTCACCTGTAAAGGATTTAGCACCAGAAACGTTGTTAGAGGCATCAATAAAACTGGTTGCGCACCAGACCGACTCGCAATCGAGTGACACCGCCCGTTCTCCGCCCTGTTCGGACGGCTCCTTGAGCGACATACCCTCGAACTCCTCGATATCGTCCTCATAGCCGTACTCGGCGATCTGAACTGGACTGGGCGCCATTGCTCGGCGAAGGTCCTCCTTCTGATGCTGATACTCGGCGTACGCCTCCTTATTGAGCCAGCCCTTGTGGCCGGTCGCAGAGTCGTCGACATAAGCACCACCGCCCGAGAGGCGGTCACCAAGCTTCTGACGCTTTTTGTAGTCAGAGAACTTGGTGCGCTTGGGAGGAGCTAACCCAGACACATGTTGGTCAGAATCGGAAGCACGCGGAGGGGTAACCAGCGGCTTACGAGCAGACTCCTCTACCGGCTCGATACGAGCCGACAGAGGCGGGGACGCTGAGGGGCCCATGGAGAGCCGCTGAATAAGCGGCGTCTCCCCTGCGAACGCGGGCAACTCGGCGCGCGTTCCCTCGAACGTGGGCGCAATGCCCTGGTCCCGCTGGCGCTTGAGTGCGCCTGCGGTTCCGTGAGGGGGCGCCGGAGCGCTGCTTCGGCCTTGATAGGCCGTCGCGGGTTGGTGGGACCGCTTGCGCGGATCGGGGGTAGGTGCGGACTACACCGGTGGAGAGTATGCAGGGCCAGATGGCCCGGAAGCGACGTGCGCGACGTGGTAGACGGGAGCCGGCGTTGTAAACGTTGCCGAGTAGTTGGCAGCGGCGGGTGCGGCACTCTGCGGCGCCTGAGTTGGCGTCGCGCTGGCAGAAGTCGACGACGAAGCCGCGTTAGCGGCCGCCGGCTTCTGTTGCTGCTGCTGTTGCTGCTGCGCCTGATGCTCCTTGCGCTCCTTCTTGGAAGGACGCTTCTTCTTGCCGTCAGATGACGACTGGCCGTTGTACTGCTTCGTACTGGAGCTGGCCTTGTTGGCCTGTTCCTCCTTCACCTGATTGACCTTCTTCTTCTTCTGTCCGGAGGACCGCAGATCCCAGGATGCTTGCATGCCCTGGATGATGTCGCTCGTCGCAAGATTGGTGAGGAGCTGCGTGGAGTTGTTGATTTGGTGTTTGAGCGGCTCGTAGCCAGCCGGTATTTTCGAGAAAAGAATGACGGCCCGAGTGGAGTCGGTAATGACGCCACCCAGACCTGCGAAACGAGAGAATGCCGCCATGATCTTGGCGAGAGCAGGGTTGGGGTCGGTGTCGGCCGGGATCTGGGTGTTGAGGGCGATCTTTATTTCGTTGACCGCCGCCGTGATCCCTTGTGCGCCGGAGCGCACCTCCAGTG